CCTGGAGGTGTTTCAGGTTCTACCTCATCAATGGAACCCTTGTTGGTGAAAATCAAGGTTTCAAACCACAAACAAATCTCTCAACTTACTTCAGCATATTCATTTTCACCCTGCCATTCAAAGTCTCAATGGGTCACTATTTACCAAGAACTCCTTCTCCTGAATGTATTGCCAATCTCACAAATCTGGCTAGACTTATAGAAATGCAATTCAATAAGGTATGTTTCGGCGCTTTCTAATACTCATTCCAGTGTGTTGATAAAATTACATGAATATAGTCACCCAAGGCAATGCAATTCCAGATTACAGAGACAGATCAACAGAAAATGTTGATTGTTTCAGGAGTGTAACCTTCCGCATTACTGAGCCTTAAACCTCAAGAGCTCAGTGTTTTTTTCACTTTTGTTGTATTTAATGATCATGGAAATGAAAATAAAGGTGTGATTCATCTGCTGCTTGGTGTAAGCTTCTTTACTGATATAATTTTCACACCAATAGGCCAATGCCGCCTGACGTGGACCTTACCAGAAAATCAAGGAAATATGACTTTACCTCTTTGTCATGACATTTACATAGTGGATAAACTGGTTTTTCCTACCAGTAACATCTATGGGTTTCTGATGTCCAAAAGAGTGCATGCTCACTTGGTCAATCATTCTTTAATGCTGTCTTGGAATGACCGTCTATCAATGAAATTGATCATCCATTATCCTATTGGCTTTATGTTTTCTTGTGAATTATACATTCAATTTGAACTTGCTTATAATGTAGACTATTCTGCACCTATGTGGAACCCACTCAGCATATCCATTGTGTAGTGCTATATTCCAATTGAATATCTGCTGTATTCCATCTATGAGTACATGGGTCATAAGAAATATGACATCATATATATTGAGGTTCTATCTTCAAGGCTGGAGGTTTGTAATTTACTTCCTCCCATCTATTGTGCATAATATTTAGCATCTCTAAATTCATATTATAGTATGCAACCACAATTATGAGTGAGAGTGCATGTCACTTGATTAAGACATAATTGTATCATTACTCATCACTCCTACAAATGGGCAGTGCGGATTTTCAAAGCAAATATAACAATGCAGAAAGAGTTAGGATTTCCTTTCTTCTATCAGGATCTCAATGAACTATAAAGATACTGTTATCATCAACTCAGTGCAAATCTCCTCTGCATGATGGATCTGTGGTCATTGAGTCAAATTCCTTTTGGAGCAGACATTCCAAAGCTTTTATGTACTATAATTGATGGTTTTGTTGAGCATCAGTTTTTCCTTTGCAACAATGGGATATGTTAAGGGGGTTCAGCACTAATTCATGCAATGTGTAATTGCCTTCAAGGGAGTCACAGTCCTTGGGATATATGGCACATCCACCAAAGCTCATACGTTTGACACTATGGCATACAAATTCTCAACAAATCAATATAGAGAGATGGTGTGTTACATATTTGTTTTGGACCTGATATACAATGCATATAGGAGTGGAAGTGGGTGTTATTATTCTTCTCATTGAGAGCATCAAATACATACAAGCTAATAATATCATTAATCTACATGTGCAATGACATTTTACAATAGTACAGATGTATCTGGACCACAAGAGGTAATGGTTCCGGGTTGTATCATTGGGAGAATGGTATTTACTCAAGATGTGGTTTCCAAGGTGCTTGCAACTTTTTTTCCATTGCTTTAAGTGTTGCTAGAGCTGTCAGGCTATTAGATGCTGTATATTTTCCTTGCTACTTATGTTATTTGAGATTTGCACTGTTGAAATGTGCTCTACAATCAATCAATGGGATCAGTCAATGACTGGATGAGTTTTACCTCCTCTCATGGGATTTGACATTAACGGTACACAAACATGAACACTCAACCCAAAAATGCATGGACAAAACCCATGGCAACCCAATTGTTGTTGAAGGTTTACATTGGTTTTCAAAACCCAAAAAACAATTGGGTTGCCATGGGTTTTGTCCATGGGTTTTTAGGTTGGGTGTTCATGTTTGTGGACCACTATTGCATTCATTCGAGGTCCACTTCCAGGCTGTTTAAATATGTTATTTTACAGATAACTGTTGAAGTATCCAATTGACGTAAGAAAGAAAAAGGTAGAAACGTAATGTAATCAAATATTTAGTGAAAGATATAAGATAAAAAATTAACAATCATTAGACAAAATAATTTTCCATTCTGACATTTACCCCAATGTAAAAGATAATCAACTACTTATACTAGTCATCCCTTCACTCGACTTACTTCTCTTTCCCCATCTTTGGGAAGAGAAGTAAGCACTATTTCATACTTTAATTTTATATTGAATTCTATATGTCATTGACCTTGATAAAACTATTTGTTTGATAAATCAGAACTTTTGTTCTCTTTGTAGACCACCAGAGATCTGTTATCAAATCTAGATAACATATTAACTAATCAACATATTAGGGGGTTTCAAGTCAATAAATTTACGGTATTTTACAGTCCAACAAGTTGTCCGATGTTGCAAAATATACCGTAAATTTAAAAAAATTGGGACACCTTTTTAGGTGTCCCAAATGGTGTTGACCGTATATTTGCAGAAAAAAAACCCACTGTAAAATTTAAAAAACTTGTCCGTTTTTGAAAAGTTCACAAAAAATTTCTGACTTGAAACCCCCTATTATCCTTTCTGTACCTTATAATAGGTATTAAATGTTTTCTATTCTTTTCACTTCTTTCATAATAGCTTCTGATAGAGTTGTTTGTTTTAGGTCAGAGTTGTTTTACATCAAAGTTCTTGTTTGAGTTTGTGCTTATCAGAGCAGTAGTTTAAACAGGTGAATATAATAAATATCTTTGGGAAGAGAAACTTTTGTTCTCTTTGTAGATCACCAGAGATCTGTTATCAAATCTAGATAACATATTAACTAATCAACATATTATCCTTGGACGCCACTATTTGGCGACCGGTTTTTTCAACCCGACGCCCGGAAATCAGGTAATTTGATTTTCACCACCCTTTTGTGTAACTTGACCTACAGCGCCCGGTTTTTCAGCGCCCGGCTCTACTCTCCACTACTTATACTTATCTTCAAAGGAAAACTATTGAATTCTTGACGCTTCGTGACTTTTTGACAATCTGTGACACTTCACAACTCTTGTCACTCACTCACTCCTTGTCACTTTGACAAAACGTGCACTTGCACTTCAATTCAATCAAGTAAATAGACTACATAGTGAGAGCACACAAAACAAACGAGTGAGAGAGAAAGAGAATATAATGAGTGAAAGATAGAGAAAGTCACAGTCACAGCAGAGAACACACAAAGAGCAAGAGAGCTAGACATGAGCCAAATAATAAGAGGATCACAAGCGGCTCCACATATCTAATTGTTTTTGATACCTTTTGACCCACGCAGGTATGTGGGTACTCTCCAGCATTGCTGTGTTACGGCCGTATCCAAACACGGCTGGAAAGGGCATAGACCGAGGATCCTTCAATCCCAAACTCACAAAATGATTCTTGTTCACATAAGCAATTACAATTGGTTCTTGATCTTGAATTTTTTCATCACTGGGGGTAGTGCAATAAGGGAAGAACATTTGGCAATATGATGGGCGCGGCTCCAAAAGGACGGTTGGCCAATTGTAAGCACTAGCAATCACATACCCCATATAAGGCATACGCAGCCAGTATTCCTCCGCACATTCAACTTCCATGTAATCCAGTCGGAAGATCAAATCCTGTACTACCTTGGCGCCAAACCATTGAATACTCCGTGTCTTCATGGAAGTCCGGGTGGGAGGAGCACATATTAACCGTTCATGATCTTCAACGTGGGTCGTGATTTCAGCTAATAATTTGCTCCTAACATCCAAATAAGAAGCATCCGAATACATTCCAATCGACGCAGCTATAGCATGGTATCCACAGTTTCCCAAAGCCGGGGGATTGAACATGGAAGATGTATGTTGAATGATTGTACTTGGAAGTTGATCCAAAATTGCTTGGTCTATCGGACTACTTGCAACACCACCCCCCTCACCACTTGATGAGAATGAGAGTGGGTCAAAAGTTCCATCTTCATTGTTGAACAGTGCAGTACCAAATTCCCGACTGGATTTGAGTGTCTTCCTAACTTTGGGGTCATTGGGCGGGATGCCCAGGTCTTTGGCAATGATTAAAATGGCCAGCTCCGGAAGCAAAACGCGACGCAGGAAGTATTCGGCGGGAAATGGGGATGTGTTGCTTGCCTCCAATTTAGTATTGGAAGAATCGGACAAGAAAGCTCTGGTCAATTCGTTGACCATAACCTCATACCCAAGTTGGCCAAAACTGGAAAGGAAATCAATAGTTTGTCAGTGTGACATCCTATCTTCACAAAACAATTCACATACTCACTACCCGGGTTGCTCAACCTCAAAGCCATCGAATTTGCCAGACATACTGAACATGTACCTTCCCTGCGTCTTCCACTTATGCTGGGCAGCATCCAGGTAAAAAGACGGTATTTGACGCTGAATAATCTTGAAAAGATGACTCGCTTGCTTTTCGATGCGCCTTTTTGAATCACCGTGTCTGTGTAGGCTTTGCTAGTCGACGAGCGCACACCAACTCCCTTTGAGGCAGAAAGGGAAGTCGTGCGCGCTCGTTGACGAGCAAACACTACCCGGACACGGTGAATGTCACGTTTGTAAGTACCAAAAGCAAAAGTCCAAAATCAATGAGATGCTCACCGGGGCAAACCACAAAAGTTGATGGCTGTCGGCCAACCCTCACGTTTTCCAAACAGGATCACATCCCGTTCAGCCCGATGAAGAGTGCAAAACTGGGCGGTTTGTGGGAACTAGTGATGTTCAACCATTTCGAATGACCATCAAAGACAACCTCATTCAGCAAAAAAATTGGTAGAGTAAGGGTGAGTAACACTACACGAAATGTCATCTTTACCGGGCGGTAAAGAAAACTACTGACATATAAAAATGCTGAGGCAACAGGAAGAGAGCTAAAAATCTGAAAAAATATGCACCTTGTTCCTAGATGTTGGGGCGTCATGATGAGATTTTTTTGTATTTTACACACATATATTGGTTAATGTACTAACAATAAAGGCTGAAAATTGTCAACAACCCACCTGTAACAATACCTGAAATTTGGGTCCAAATCATGAAGACAATATTTTGTGGTCTAAAAACTTGAATAACTTTTGCAATTCTGCTACAGATAACTTGATTTTTGGATCATTCAAAAGCTGAACCATTCTCCTTTACACTTCATAAAGGTAGTAAGGTGTTTTCTAGTCATGTAAATGCTCTACATATGTTCAAACACTTCTGAATAAATATCTCCGTAGAATCTTTTGCAGACCGGCTACAGATGTGATGTCTGAATGATAAATGTAGAGGAAAGACTCACCTTTTTGATGAATTCAAAATCAAGTGATTCATTTCAGAACTGCAAAAGTTATTGATGTTTGAAGATTTCAAAATCATGTCTTCAAAATCATGGGCCAAATTTCAGGTATTGTTACAGGTGGTTTGTCAATGATTTTCAGCCTTTATTGTTGGTACATTAACCAATATGTGTGTGTAAAATACAAAAAAAATCTCATCATGATGCCCCAACATCTAGGAACAAGGTGCATATTTTTTCAGATTTTTAGCTCTCTTCCTGTTGCCTCAGCATTTTTCTATGTCAGTAGTTTTCTTTACCGCCCGGTAAAGATGACATTTTGTGTAGTGTAACGTGGCCTACTCACCGAAAGGGAGGATGCATTAGGCAAAGACAGAAGCGCGGCTTTCTGACTCTGGAGTTTCGCCGAAGGGTGGGATGGGAGGGGATCTTCACAGAAGGGACACAAGTTGTCATCTTCTGTATCCGACCAGAGCGGTTTGGGACTGGTGTCCAATGCTGCCCCAGGGTTTGCCAAGTCAGCGCTTGGTGTTGCTGGTTGCTTGAGATCTTGAGCTGTAGCTGAGACTGTTAGCACATCGACTTGTTGAGGTGCTGGAAGATCGACTTTGCCACTGTCCTTAGTTCGATGTGGGCAATGATTGGCACGATGATTCTCCTCTTTACAAATGCTGCATTTGTAAAGGCGCTTTATTGATGATTTCAGCGGTTGAGATGATTTAAGAGTTGCTTGTGAAACAGGTTGTGTCGCCTTGGATGAAGAAGGAGCCACCGAATTTTGGGAATCAGTAAGCGTGAAGTTAACTCTGGCGGCTTCCTCTTACGGCGTCAAATCGCGTTCATATTCCGCTGGGTCAGTGTGAAGCACCGGGCAAGTGGTGATTCGGTGGCCCGGCTGAGCACAATGGCTACACCGAGGATTAGCCACCCTTTTTTTTAGCATCTCTTAGAGCTTCTTCGGTGTCCTCTACCTCCATGTCCCTTTTCCAACGTCCTTTACCTTTCTCTTCTTGTGACATTCCAGGGTGTTTGTTTTGATTGGCACGAGGTCTGCCACGGTTTTGAATCTTGACCTTAGCATTTTTAATTGGAACTAGGGAGTACCGGCCGGTTTCTATCTTAGCGAGGTCTTTGTAAACTTTTCGCAGTGAGTGTTCATCAAGTTCAAATAGGCGTTTGACCTTTAACTTCACTGCCTTCTTGAGATTGTCGTGAGTGGCTGGGGGCGCGACCAGAGTGAGATTCCATTGTTGGTGAACAAGCTGAGGTGAAATGTAGTCAGATTGTACTAGAGCACGCGCGAGCTCATGGGAACATGGTAGTCCCCAAGCGCCACAAAAAGATTTGGTACACTCCCTGTTGATTGATTCCGGAATAAGTTTGTACTGAGCCTTCATCTTTTTCAGGGCAAAATGTGATATTACACCAATCAGTTCTTGAAAGCATGTCGGTAGCCCGTTAAGTATTTTTTGACTTTCTACTCCGGTCAAAGTAGCGATTGCCTGATACTGAGAGTCTCCCGCATGCTTGAAGTCCTTGAAACATGTTATGAAATCATTATTGCTGCCGTCTAAAAAGTTCTTGAGTTGATGGTGGCCACCTTCGATTCGGGAAGTTGACGAGTTGCCGAAATGTGGTGTTTGCGACGTGAAAAGAGCGACAAACTTTTCGCTTCGATAGAGCCACGTCTTTTCCAGATACTCCAAAATATGATGTCGTCGAGCGAGTTTCTTGACAGTCTCAAGATGTTCATCGTATGCTTGATTATTTGTGATTTGCAAAAATAGATTCCAACTCTGCATGAATTCTTCCCATTCGGTCTTGTTCATCTTCTTCTTGCAATTCTTGGCAATATTATGATTGATATGCCATATACACAAAATGTGTGTTGCGCTAGGAAACACTTTACCGATTGCATTGAACAATGCTGGCTCAGCATCCGTACAAAACGTTTGAGGAAGCGGGTATGAGTGGTCTTCAGAGTCGCCGTTGAACACCACAGACTTTGATTGCTCCATAGCCCAAACGTATCGTTCTTCGACCTTGCTGTGCATGAAGCACAGGGCCACCGTGAAAGTTTTGTGAGTGTTTGTTGTCCCTACGATGTGAAGCAACGGTAGATTGAATCTGTTGGTTTTATAGGTGCAGTCCAAACCTATGACGGTGGGAAACCGACAAGCTAAGTCGATGCCTTGAGGGCTGGCGATGAAGAGTGATTGCAAAGTTCCGTCACTGGCTGTAGTCGTCCGAAAGGCCCATCGACTTTCCATGATCAAGACGAATAAACCTTGTATTGGGGTGCGTCCAGCTAGCCAAACGTCTCTTTGACGACACAGAGCATTGCAGATGTCTCTGACAAGCGGTTCAGATCCGGGTTCGAAATGCAAGAGTTGACGTATCTGGCTCGCGCGGCATCCAGCTGATGCCAGTAAGTCCATCTGATCTAAGGTTTCCTGGGTGAATCGACAGTTTTTGGATAGATTGTTTGGTTGTTCAAAAAACAGAGGGTGGTTGTGAACATGTTTTGCAGGTGTCTTTGGATCCCGCTGAACAAACCATCAATCCTTACGTAAGTGACAATTCAATGGAACCTCAACTTCACAGTTGTTCATTTTTGTGGAGCTTGCTCGAACCGTGGCTACAGAGTTTACTGGGCGCCCCAAAGAGCACCTGAAATAGATTCGAACCTTTTGATGATGTTTGGTCTTATGACTTTTAATACTGAGTCCGTATCCTTGATGTTGAGCAACAGCATTCAAGTACATAACTCCGCTCGCCATTGCCACAAATTGTTTTCCAAAAACTGGCGGTTTCATGAGTCGCACTGGTTGAATACCTGGATAAGGGAAAAAGAAAAAGAATGTCAGATCTGAGAAATGAAAGTGACATGGGAAGAGAGAAATCAAACGGACCGATATCAGGCCAATTGCTATCACGCTCAGCTTGAAGATCATCAAAGATCTCATTGTCTGTTCCGTAGTTGTCATTTTCAGAAGGAAGTGCTGCATCTTGCTTAAGTTCAGCTTCAGACTGTGCAGGTGCTTTCGGGGAGGAAAGTGACAGGCTGGTGGTTTGAGTGAGTTGACTTTTATCGATGGTTACATTGAAAATAGTTGGTGATAGTCGTTCTTGGGAAGGGTCAGTACCAATAGTTGGTGACATGTGAGACAAAATGGGTGCTGGTGCTTGAGTAGCTTGTGGTTGAGATGGGTGACTTCCATCGGGGTCAGAAGGGATAGCCGGTGACATATGGTAACCATGAGGCGCTGGATATCCGTACGGTGGGTACGGCGGAAAACCGGGCGGAAAACTGGGCTGATAAGAAGTCGGATACATATATTGGGGGAAATGCCCTTGATTTGGGTGGTTTGTGTTCGGAAAGGGAGGAAACGGTTGTGATGTGTTTCCATGATATGGAAAAGGTGGCCAATAGTTATTGGCGGTATGATACATATAGGGATATGAATTTGGTGGGTGAGAGTGGTTCAAAGGTGCCGACGAACTATCTCGAGAATCTTGAGACTTCAATGCCGTTGGGATAGGGTGATTGAGAGACATCTCGAGAGGGGGTGTTATCAGGATGTAGGAATCGGTAGCGTGGACCAAGACCAGGACGGTGCGACGTCTGGTGTTGAGGTGAACAAAGAAGACGGTGTTTCTGCACAGAATTGCCTAGGAGGAAGGAGGAGTCAGTCAGCCAGCGCAAGATACTTGAGAGGGAGAGGGAGGGAACTATAGACTTAGACTTACCATGTTGGACGCCACGACCGTGTTTGGCCAATACATATTGGATGGTCACCTCTGAGAGGTAGCTTGATGAAGGAGGTCGCTCAAATCAATCAACAGTTGGTTACAGGAGAGGTACAAATGAACCAATGCGGAAGTGGTGAGGAAGAGAGATGTGGATAGCCCGGTTTGGCAGTCCAGAATTCAAGAGCCTGGTTTGGATAGCGTGAGGATGACATGGGTAGAGGGTAGCCCGGTTAGGAAGAAGCCCGCTTGCCTGTGATGGACAGCCCTAGTTTGAGGAATTGCTGCGGCTGCGGCGAAATTTGGCAGGAGCGTGTCCGGGTTGCCAGAATCAACGCGGGTAAAGTACCAGGAAAACCGGGCTTCGGGTAAAACTCATCCAGTCGCCAAATAGTGGCGTCCATTATCCTTTCTGTACCTTATAATAGGTCAGAGCTGTTTTACATCAAAGTTCTTGTTCGAGTTTGTGCTTATCAGAGCGGTAGTTTAAACAGGTCAGAGTTGTTTTACATCAAAGTTCTTGTTTGAGTTTGTGCTTATCAGAGTGGTAGTTTAAACAGACCGTGTTCGAAGACTCAAAGACATTCTTAATAACCAATTGCGCAAAGGTAGCATCAGATGCACAGCCAGCATATTTGGCTTGGAGCCAAAAATATGACGAGTCCTCCGATTTTGACTCCGAGTGAAGCACCATCCAAGCATCCAATTGGAGGCAATGGCCAGGGCCAAAAATTGCCTCAGAACTATCCCTTGGGTTCTCTTTCCCTCAGGCTCAGGGGCACCATCTGAGAACTCCTCAGACATTTGTCTCTGAGCCAAATATGCAGGCAGTGACACAGTAGGGGGTTTCAAGTTGAGATTTGTTTTGGGTATTTTTTTAAAGTTTGGACAAGTTGTTAATAAAAATATTTTTTGTAAAACAGATGTATTTTTAATTCAGGACACCTAAAAAGGTGTCCTGCTTCAAAAAAATTACGCATATTTTACAACAACGTGCAAGTTGTTGTAGCATAAAATTACTGAAAACATTAAGGGGGCTCAAGTCAAAATTTTTGCGGCCTTTTCTTAAAAAATTGGGGAAAGTTTTTTATGGTACCGTGCTGTGAAAACTTTTCCCAAAAAAAATTGGGATGTCATATAACTTTTCCCAATTGCATAAAATTTTGCGTAAATTTTATGCAATTAGGGGTTTCAAGTTTGAGTTTTTGTGTATCTTTAAGTTTTAAAAACTTGGACCACCTGTGGCTACCTGACCCTTAGGGTAATACCCGAGGGAAAACGTGTAATTCCTGGCGGGTAAAGCCCGTCTCTTCCCTTATAGACTCAAGGACAAGCAGGACGTGTCTCAAGACTCTCTTTTCTCACACATCTCCTTACAAAGACCTATTCGGACGCGTCTACAGCCCCAGACGTGTCCATAGACAAGTCTCTACTGCTCAGCCGCACTGCTCAGCAGACCAGCCACGGCCCAGATCAATCTACACACCGACTACCCCACCCTTCAAATTTGCTACACTACAACAACCTCAAGCTTGATTGCGTATCCTACCTTCCACCTCGCACACACACATCTTCACCCAATTCCACCAACCTCACATGCTGGAACCCTCGACTGATCACAACACATCAAACTTTGACAATTTCACTTACCTCACACTTCGGAACCCCTATCTGATAACTAAAACTAACTCAACAGACTTTACAGACCCCTCATCAAACGGTCTTGCCGGGTCAGATCATCAACACTTACTCAACGGTTCCATGAACACATTTGCTCATTGGACATTTCATTATGGTGAGTCTTCATTTAGTCGTCTTCATTTAGTTGTTTTACATAGGCTAACTTGTATCTTTTGTTGTCGGAGGAGTCAGCCATCAACTGCAACATTACTTTTGTATAATTCTCGAAGGTCAAGCAAGAGGAGACATCAAATTAACGAAGATCAACCCCAGCTCAATAAATTTTTGAATTACTCTGCTGTCAAGATCAATTCATCGAATTAACATGAAACAAATGAAAAACGATTGATTCATTCAATACCATTATCATTAAATCAGACAAGGATTGAAGGATTGTGTAGTCAATCGATTCTTCTAATATTTTGAACAAATGAAAATGTATTTCCAATTGAGGGTGGTCGAGTTTGAAAGCACAACTAGTACAGAGTAGCACTACATAAGTACATGAGACTAAACACAAACTTATTCGTAATTTGAATTAAGAGAGGATGCATATGATTGAAGTGTTGATTCAGTGGTTGAGTCAGTGTGTGACTATACAAATCATATCATGAGAGCAATTATGAAATCAAGAGTCATTTCCTTACTGTACATTGAGAGTTTGAATTGATTGAGACAATGTTCGAAAAATGATTCAAAGGGACTTTATCAATGGCTGACAATTTGAATAGCCAGAACCAAGCCTGACATAATTGAAAAACTCAATTGATTAATTTGAGCGAGAAGGCTCACTTTGATTCACTCTAGTGAATCGTACTTACATGATGTTCACCTAACTCATGTCGGTTTCAGTTCATGTTAATTGGTACAAGCAGTACTGAGATAATGGTAACTCTGTATTGTTGAATTCAAGATGAAGCAGCTGTCAGAAGGGTTGAAGTTGACATTGGCCAAGATGAGATGCGGCTGAGAAATTTCGTTTAATTGAGTTCACGATACTTGATTCATTAAGTTCTCTGAAAGAACAACTGCTCCAATTGTATGATATCAATGGCAAATTACTGTATAGCAATGAAAGGTATGATAAATGTGATTCATCCTTAGACCAATCAATCACGAGAGAACAAATACGGAACATGTGAAACTAATATTGCAAAGTTCTTGAAGCATCAATGATGAAAAGTAATTAACGCTGAAATGTAACAGAAGCTTATTGACCTGATACACAAACAAAAGTGGTACTCGGTCAAGCGACTTTGTACTCAGCAACAAGAGCAACAAAAAGAGCAACAAAAATCAAGACAAAAATAACATGAGAAAAACTTTCAACTTTTTGAACGTGTACTTTACTGTCAAGCCCATCCCACTAAAATGACAGAACTATTGAAAATCGAGAAATTACAAATAAGAGTTTCAATATCACGTCTCATCACTTTCAGCGTTGGAAAATCCGTTCCACTCATCGTCCAAACCTTTCCACTCCTCTTCTTCTAAATATGCATCCCCTGCGGGTGTGCCTGGTTCGTCTTCATTGGCTTGGTTGAGTTGACTATCATCGCCATCATCCGCAGAGATCTTCTCGAATCGGAACAGTCCGTTTTGTGCATCGTTAAGCCATAGTGATCGCTTACTATTCATACCCTTGAAACCCAGTTTCAAGACTTCGGGTGGAAGAGTGGACCCATCCTCTTGAATGAGGCGAACAGGGAAACCTTTTTCTGGCAATAACTGAGCAGGATCGGGTCCGCGGGGAAACCCTTTAACTTCGATACCTAATACTAGACCTGTAAGAACATCACATTTAGTCAGTGCTAGTCAAAGAAGGAATCAGGAAATAGGAACCCTTGACTTACCCAATTGAGAGCGCAATAACAGCGCAAGGTCTCCCTTGACTTTATCACCTGAGGACACGCTTTTAGTAGTCTCGGGTTGCTTGTTCTTGCCAATCGCGCTTGCAACAGCCTTTTCAACTGAAAGACCCTGGGTGTGTGTAGCAAACACAGTTGGGAAATTGCACTCCTTACGAACATACTCGGCCAGGTCCGGGTGAGAGGTGTACTCTTTGATCACACCATCCCGTCCCCTCCGAGCCGGCTTGTGTAGCAGGGCGAGTGGTAGCTGCGAGAAAGTAATATGCGAAGTCCATGTGATTAGACTCGTTTTCAATCTAAAAATGATACATATATGTATGTCAGTTTGTCAGCACATGATATTATAACATCTTTTGTAGATATAATCACACTCACCTGATTATGTAGTTTCTTAACACATTTCAAAGACCGACGGTTATAATTGGGGAGAGATGGCCCATTAGGTATACCAGAGGCAACCTTATTGTAAGCTTGAGATACCTTTGTGGTACAAACCATTTCATCATAAAGCTTTTGTAGATCCGCTCGTTCTTCGGGGGTCAAATCAATATCTTGACTTCCTTCATCATCAGAATCGACATTGGGTTTACGAGGGCGAGGTAGACCAGAGAGTAGGTAGAAGATCGGAGGGTCCCATACACGCTTCTCCTCCTTGGAAAGGCCTTTCCACATAGCAGATAATTTACGGTTTCGTTCTCCTAAGCCTCCTTTCTCGCTGCCCGGTGGCACTATCATAATCATGAAAAGATCACACCACTCAGTCAAACGTCAATCTAAAGTCTTGCAAATTCAACTTACTTTTAGTTCCAAGAGCCTTGATCGAATATCTAGACCAAAGTCGAAGACAATCCGGAGTTCGCGTACTGCCGAGCTCACCACTAAGGAGAATTATCCAACTGTCAGTTTTAATTCAAGATATCGACTTCACATAAGAATCAAAAGATGACTCGACTCACAGTGCTTTCTCCAATGTAAAAATACTGACATTGGCCACCAAAGCAAGGACGGCCTTTTGTTGTATGTAGAGCTTTTGAATTGCTTTCGCTTCGTCAAAGATGTTTTTCGCCACTGCGGTTCCCAAGGTCTTACCTTCTTGGTATTCTGATACACGTGACGGAGCCCAATCCTCCACGTGACTCTTATAATTCATAAGAGTAGGCAGTTCGATTGCGACATTGGTCGGGTTCTTGTTGCTAGGATTTCCAGTAGTGTTGGCCGGGTTTGAAGAAGTTGCAAGGGTACGCTGAATTCTGGTGATAAGATCATCATCATCATTTAGATCTTCTTCCAAAGAATTTGTAATGTTATCGTTGGATCGAGTAGCAGTACTAGTAAACTCTTCAATGCGAGGTCGCTTTTGACGTTGTCGAGCTGGTTTTCGAGACTTGGATGTCTTTGCAGGGACATTAATGTTGCGACCTGGTGATTGTGGTTCGATTTGCAAATCTAGAATGTCCGGATCTGGTAGATATGCATCTTCGGACTCGCCAGAGTCGGAGTCGGAGTTGGAATCAGGGGTACAAGTGCGATTGAGAGTTCGCTGGGTGTTATCCGGGGTAGGTGGAGCGCCGGGCTGCAAAGTTGAGCAAGCAGTTCGGAGACTTCTAGTTTCTCGAGTTGAGGAAGTCTTTGGCGGATTAGGTGAGGCCACAGGTTGGTTTTTCTTTCTTTTAGTTTTTGACGTTGTGATTGTGGAAGCGAGTGGTGGATTGGAAACCGGTGGTGGAGAAGGTAGTTTAGCTCCTGACCGAGTTCTCCTCATGATGGATTAAACAAAATATAACAAGCGATGAGTAAAACGGAAAAAGGAAAAGCCGTGAATGATAGGAGGTGGGGTCGATTTCTTCTAGTATTGGATGGTATTAAATGGTAGGATGTTGAACGGTGTATGGTCTGAAAATTGTGTCTAAGTATATAAAAGGAACTTGAGATTGGCGTGGAGATGTTGAGAACAGGGCAGAAACTAAGCGAATGCTGCCCTATGCCTCAAATAAAACCCTAAATAAAAACCTGTATGTTCCTTTCAAAATGAACCGAGTTGATTTTGAGCAAAACGTGATATTTTGAATGTTTGAGGGTGATTATGAAGATGAAGGTGGTGAGCTACAAGGATGTATGATATAGAAAAAATGTGCTTCTTTTAGAGTAGAATATATTTCTGAAATTATGACATTATAGAAGTAAAACTTCAGTGAGTTTGTGCGTGTTTCATGGCAGAGCGGGAGCCAAACAAGGTATCTTGAGTTTTTGATTGTAGATATGAAGATGAAGGCGGTGAGCTGTAAGAACAAACAATAGAGATAAAATGTGCTGCTTTTAGAGCAGTATATATGTCTGAAATTATGACATTATAGAAATAATACTCCAGTGAGTTTGTGTGTGTTTCATGATGTGGGGATC